GATTATTTCACTTTTAATTCACTGTATCACAATTCCAGTGGGTCAGAAGTTTACATTCACTAAGTTGACTGTGCATTTAAACAGCTTGGAAAATTCTGAAAATGATATCATGGCTTTAGAAGCTTCTGATAGGCTAATTGACATAATTTGAGTCAATTGGAAGTGTACCTGTGGATGTATTTCAAGGCCTACCTTCAAACTCAGTGCCTCTTTACTTGACATCATGGGAAAATAAAAATAAATCAGCCAAGACCTCAGAAAAAAAATGGTAGACCTCCACAAGTCTGGTTCATCCTTGGGAGCAATTTCCAAATGCCTGAAGGTACCACGTTCATCTGTACAAACAATAGTACGCAAGTATAAACACCATGGGACCACGCAGCCATCATACCGCTCAGGAAGGAGACACGTTCTGTCTCCTAGAGATGAACGTACTTTGGTGCGAAAAGTGCAAATCAATCCCAGAACAACAGCAAAGAACCTTGTGAAGATGCTGGAGGAAACAGGTACAAAAGTATATATATCCACAGTAAAATAAGTCCTATATCGACATAACTTGAAAGGCCGCTCAGCAAGGAAGAAGCCACTGCTCCAAAACCGCCATAAAAAAGCCAGACTATGGTTTGCAACTGCACATGGGGACAAAGATCGTACTTTTTGGAAAAATGTCCTCTGGTCTGATGAAACAAAAATAGAACTGTTTGGCCATAATGCCCATCGTTATGTTTGGAGGAAAAAGGGGGAACTTGCAAGCCGAAGAACACCATCCCAACCGTGAAGCACGGGGGTGGCAGCATCATGCTGTGGGGGTGCTTTGCTGCAGGAGGGACTATTATTTTGACATTTCACATTCTTAAAATAAAGTGGTGATCCTAACTGACCTAAGACAGGGAATTTTTATTAGGATTAAATGTCAGGAATTGTGAAAAACAGAGTTTAAATGTATTTGGCTAAGGTGTATGTAAACTTCCGACTTCAACTGTAGATTCCAGTATTTCCCATAATTTCCCACAGTTTCCCACATTTTCTTTAACTAGTAGTGCCTGGCCAGGATAGCAACACATCTCTATAGCCTAGTAATGTTGATGTAAAATCAGATATCTTACAGCTGAGTTGACAACAATGAGGCAAAGTATTTTCAGTAGGAAAGAAACCATACCATACCAGTGCATCATTTTGCATTGATCATTTGATTGACTATTCCACAAAATCTGAATGAATTATTCCACATCCCTCATATAATTAATCTATACAGTGCAGATGAATATGTACACCACAGTAATCATTAATATTCATTTGTACAGTGTACATACTGTACACCATGGAATGGTATATCAGGGCCACAAGGGAGAGTGGTTCACCTCAAAGTAGTGCTGAGCGATTAGTGCTTTTTTTTTTTAGGTCGGTTCGGTTTTTGAAAAATAATCATGGTTTTCGTTTTCGGTTTGCGATTTATTTATATTTTTTATAAATGCATTATATGGTTTCAATGCTGTAACAACACAGAATAAATCAATTGATGGGAGTGACTGCACATTACTATCATTTATTGGGCTCTAACCACCATTTATTCACATTACTTTACATAAATAAAATATTTAGCTTGTGTATATTACATATTTGTTTTTAGTACACTTTTAGAAAAAAAGGTGCTATCTAGAACCTTAAAGGGTTCTTCGGCTGTCCCCATAGGATAACCCTTTGAAGAACCCTTTTTGGTTCCAGGTAGAACTCTTTTGGTTCCAGGTAGCACTCTTTTGGGTTCCATGTAGAACCCTTTCCACAGAGGGTTCTACCTGGAACCCAAAAGCGTTCTACCTGGAACCAAAAAGGGTTCTGCCTGGAACCAAAAAGGATTCTACCTGGAACCAAAAAGGGTTCTGCCTGGAACCAAAAAGGATTCTACCTGGAACCAAAAAGGATTCTCCTATGGAGACAGCCAAAGAGCCCTTTTGGGGAACCTTTTTTTCTAAGGTTGTATGATGATTACTTTATTATTTCATGAATAAAACCCCAATGATGGTAGTGACTGCCCATTACTGCATATTACTTATTAATAAACCATCCGTTATTTACATGACTATTTCAGTTGTTGTGTATATCTTTTTTTTGGGATGACTTATTATTTTATTCCTAGTCAACATCTCATCTATGCTCAGGCAGTAGCAGCCAGTAGCCATCTATCTCTGTGCTTCCCAAAGAGTCATCATTCAGGCTAGAAGGCTAGCCTAGCTGGCTAGCTGCCTGCTGTCTGACGAAATCACTATTTCAGTAGTTCTTCAAAGTAGATAAGGCATACTTTTAAGACTGCTAAATAAAAATTATCAATCAATTAGATGTTTTGTTGGGTAGAGATACCTAAGCAACCTCTCTCTATCGCTCTGCTCTTCCTCGCTGTGTCAGTCTGCCGGCCCCACAGGCTTGCCCGGCAAGAACCAATGAAAACAGGCAGCTGTAGCCGCAACTATGAGTTGGACGCATAGCGATAGAGGACTCATCTTTGTATCTATGCTATTATATCCTCTGTGACAGCATGGGCAGCGCCATTGAGGCGATCTCCATTTTGAAGTAGTAAATGTTCTTCTTCACAATTGGCTGATCCCTCCTGATGACTCAGTTGGACATGACTCCAACAGGGCCACCCAGAGGGATCAGCCAATGAATTTGGAAGTCCCACCAGTTGACTACATTAAAATGGTGGAAGCCCTCAATGGCGCTGCCTATGCTAAAATGGCCTTTTGGCCACTAGAGGCCTCTATCATTCTCTATGGTTGGACAACATGTCCCAGAGAGAAATCTCTAGAGAAACGGCACAAACGGCACTTTGAGCGCACAGAAAAAAACTAAAACTAAAATGAATTAAAATAATTGAACTGACATTGGTCGATTAGTTATTTAAAAACCGAAAATAAACCTACATTTTGGTTAATCACTCAGCACTACCTCAAAAGCATGTAATCAGTAGCATATGTAAAATGTGTTGTGTCATCATCTTCCTTCCAAGCTCTCCAAACCTTTGGATAAGTTACTGAACATTCAGATAAATCACTTCAGACTGTTATATGTACAATGCATAGAGAGCAGACCCTCATGCCTGGAGCAGATTCTGAACGTAGATATACAGGGTGATAGATTGGACCTAATGGAGAAATTAAACATAAGGGTTAAGAGAGTTATTCTAAATGCTAATGTTTTCCTTTTTTTTTTGCTTAATATACCCACATAGATCTCCTTGAAAAAGTATATGGGAGTAACCACTGAGGCTAAACGTCTGCCACACAGGCTTTTAGTACTTTCCTATTTGCTTTTTCTGTCATCTCTGTTGATGTGGCTATTTATAGCATAGCCTCTGAAGAAATAGCATTCTCCCCCAAAGAGAACAGGGGAATGAATAGTTGAGATGGAGTGAAGTAAAGTAACATTGTTTGAATCGATATGCTATTACATTGTCTATTGTGCAAAGTCAGACTAACCTTGTACTAGATCTGCTTGTTCTCATGCCAACTCCGTTACTGTCAATGGATGACAATGAGTTGGCATGAGAACAAGCAGACTGGCACTCGGGCTAGAGTCAGACTGTCCATTGTAGAGTTTGAATGGGAACTTTTTTGTAAATCACAACATACTCATAACTGTATAAACCCATCGATATAATGGCATTGCATAGAAACATAGACCATTACTGAGAGGCAACACAAATGCATAAATATTACTGTAAACACATTATAAATATGCATGACACAAAAATGTGCATTTCAAAACTTGACCTTTGGTGGAAGGACTATACAAACAAGACAGGGGAAGTATGTGTTTGGTTCTGCTTCTGAAATACCAAACACATTATGGAACAGTGCTATTTGGGACCGTTACACAAAAAAACAGAATAACAAAATAACAGATGTATCCAATAGTGAATATCCTCTCTGTCAAACATATGCTGAAAAGTAAAACATTTGAACATTCTCTCCATGCACTCTTATTCAAGTTTCATTCAAAATAATCGAATAAATAGAACACCGATAATTTGAATAAATAAATAAATACATTAATTAATAGATAACTACCTAGATAAATACATATGACAACCTAACAGTTACTAAAACAGTGTACAAAAACTAACTATTTTGTCATTAAAACACCCCTCATTCCAGGTATTGCCATTCAGATACCCACATAGTTTAGCTTCACTAGGAGCTGTTATGGGGATTCTTTAAAATGAAAAAAACCTTTTTCAGCCCTTCTGTGCAGTGGTTTGATCATTCACCATCATCTTATAAGGAATTACATTTCAATTGTTTGCCACTTGATCAGAGGATAAACAAATCTGGCTTTTGAGCTAATAGGCAGTTTGTTTGCCATCGGGACTTCCTCCTGCTCCTCCTCCTCTTCCTGTTCCTTCTCATCATTTCTCAGATGTTTTTGCTTCACATTCTGAAGAGCTGAGATTAGAGAAGCAATACACATTTTCCTATGTTCCTGAAAAACCGTCCCTCTCACCCTCCCTCTGTCCCCAAAACAACTTTCTCCCTCTGTCCCCAAAACAACTTTGTAGTGCACATCCCAGATTTGAAATGAAATGGTCGGAAACTTGTTATAAAATGAAGCGTTTATCAGAGGGTTAAACTGAACAATGCTCCTCCATCCTTCGTTTCAGTCAAAGACGTCAGAGGAAGAGTGTCACAAGGAAAAACAGTCTCTAGCCATTGTGAATGCTAATGCGTGACGAGGACACAGCGGACTGAAAAAAACGAACCAAAGAAAACATTAAATCAATCTTATTTCCAGTGGTTTCCTTCTTCAATACATCAGAGACAACTGCTTCTATTCAAGACATCGTTGAAGAAAAAATTCAAGGTACAGGGATACTTGCTTGAAGGGTCTGGCTCAGGCATCTAACACGAAAAAGACGCAAAGAGATGAAAACATTACCTCATACTTCCGCTGGGAGATTGGGAAACAATAATACAGTCTCCTCCGTAACCTCCTCAGTCTGTTAAAACTCAGTGCCGGTTCTTGCCCTTGCTGTAACCGTCCAACGAGTCATAGCTGCGACTCCGGCTCTGACTCCGGCTCTGACTGCGGCTCCGGCGGCCAAAGATGGAGTTCCAAGAGGAGCTGCGACTGTAGCTCCGGTAGGAGAAGTAGCTCCTACTCCTACTTCTTCTTCGGCTCCTACTCCTACTCCTGGAACTACTGAGGCAGAGGCCAGGACTGGGGCTAGGGCTGCGACTCCGTGTGAAGAGGCTGCTCCAAGAGGATACACTGGTAGAGCGACTGCTGGATGAAGGACTGGGCCGGAAGTATGGGATGGGTCTCTTCCTGGCACTGTGGGGAATCAGGGAGGTATGGTTAGCATTAGAGAGACTGTGTGAATCAACACATCAAGAGTAAGTAAATTAAAGTCCCAATGCAATCAATTGCAGATAATGTTTTTTAAAAAACACTTTGCGGAGTCATTCAGAATGCTCAATTGGATATTGATGCCAAACCATACCTTGTTTTTAACATACAGTACAAGGGGCCTAAGTATTCATGCCTGGATTGTTATGTTACACTTTCTTCACAAAAATGCATTTCAGCTCGTGTTCATGTCAGGAGAAACTTCTTTAAGATATAGCATTGCTGTCACACCTCAAAACAACGCCTGGAACATTTCAATGCATAATCATGAGCACAACTGTTTCATTTAGCTGTCTCGCTTGATCCATTGCAGCTTGTTTAGACTAGTAGAAAATTAATCAGGTAAATGGCCTTCTTTTCACAGCCCAGTCCCCCAAAAGTCTCTTAAGCGAACTGGAGGCCATTGTCGAAGGTTAAAAGAAGAGGGACTCTGCTAAGGACAAACCATTGTTGAGTCCGTGGTTTGAACAAATAAGTTGATACAAAGTGAAATAAAATAGTGACGGTGCACGAATGAAAGAATTCGTAAGAAACGTGAACGTTTTGTCAGAAACGTGAAAGTGTTACAGGCAGAAAGAGAAAAAGATACCTGGTTATCCTCCTGGCTTCCAGGTGACTGGGTGAATCTCTCCTCCTTTTCCTCATGGGAGAGTAGAACCTGCGTCTATGCCTCTTCCCGCTTCGCTTCCGACTGCTGTGTTTCACATCCTTCTCACAGGAGCTGGGGTCCCTCTTCCTCTCTCGGACCCTATGTTAGATGGCAAAAGAAGAACAGTAAGGCATCACTCATAAGCAATTCTATAATTTGGACATTATGCCAGAAGTAGTTAGTAGTTAATTGAGCAAGTAGATTGGCAAAACATGTTTTACCTCTCTTTACTGTATCGGGAGTAGCTTCCTCTGGACCTTCCACTGCCCTCACTACCTTTCCTTCTCAAACCAGCCAAGTAGCTCGGTGAACGGGAGTACGACCTTAAGACAAGCAGAACAGATTTACTTCAACGGAGGTCAGCGAAGCCCACATATTTCAAGTGGCTGCTTAAGGTGTCAGTGAAGTACATTAGAACCTAAATGAAACCAACCTGGCAGATGACAGTGATCGGCTTCGAGAGTAGCGTCCAGAGTTTCTGGAGCTCCCCGAGGATCTACTTCTGCTTCTGCTGCTGGATGAGTGGGCTCTAGTCCGCTTACGTGAAGAGGCCACCGTCCTCAAAGGAGAGAGAGAAGAGACTGTCTTCTGAGGTCTCCCCACCTTGGCCCCACATACTGAGGTTGTTACCAGCTCACTGCAATGATAACAGTGGAATTACACCAATGTATCAATTTCTGCTGCAATTGTAAAAATATGTAGATGTCCGCCTTACAGTATGTACATGGCTGGCTTAAATTAAGAGGGAAAACGGGAAAAGTGAATTAAGGAACATTTCTGATCCTTGACTTCAAGTAGCACTTTACATAATCTACAGTATGATATTCCTCAAAGATAGGAAGCTCACCTCTTGCCGTTTCCATTGAAAATGGGAGAAGACAAACCACCTTCCACATGCAGAGGTTTACACAGGGAAGCATAGCTGGTCACAGAGTTCCCAGAGTCGGATACATTATCCCCGTCTGTAAACTTCAGCTTCTCTGGGGAAGCCGGCGCTTGATACAGGACCTTTTTGTCACCGATGACACTTGTCCGTGAAATGCTGGTTTTGGTCGACGGTGGTGAAGACGTGTCATTCCCGGAATCGTAATCCTGTGGTCCTTTGCTCTGATTGGTCAGAGTGTGATGGTGAACCACTGCTGTGTTTAAAACCTCACCGCCAGGTTTTGACTGCAAGACCTGTAAACAGACAGAAAGAGGATGTTGCTTTACTTCTAGAGGTGTTTTGGATAGGTTCAAGCAATTACCTGTACGATGCACTGTGATACTCTACAAAGGAAACCATTTCCCTTCAAAACACAGAGAAGAAATTATTTTTTGGGGACAGAGAACTTGGAAAGATTAAAGACGTCATGCAAATTTGTGGCATGCAAATAAGTTGGAAAGAAAAACAAAACTGAACCAAATTGAAATAAAGTAACAAAAAAGGTTTAAAGTAAATTCATTTGGAACTAAAACAAAGATATGAAAGGAAGAACAAAAGAACAGAAAGAAAGAGAGAAACTAATGTGTGAATAAAACTACCAACGGCTTTAGCCAAGTCGAGTGAGAGAAAAAGATAGAAGAAATAACAATAAACAGTAGCCCCATTACAAAGCCTGTTTTAAAGAACATTGAACAAACATCACAAAATGGGGATTATGTAGAAATGAAAAGGATTGCAGACAAAGAGATATCCCATCAGTCTAACTAAGAAAGCCCTCAGAATAGGACAGATGATTGTGCTTTTTCCCTGCAAGAAAAGTAATTACCCTGCAGCGAACCCTAGGTACAGTAAATCCCTACGTCTGCGGATAGCATCGACTTACCAATCAAGATTTCCTCCTTAAGTAGGTAAGGTGTAAGAAAAGGGAAGAGCGGGCAACATAAGTGCATCATTAGAGTCGTAAATTGCAAGAAAAAGACAATAACCCTCTCTTCAAACCCAGAGCCAGTTAGACTGTTATTGGCATGTTCCTTTTTCTTCCCGTAAGTGTGATTGTTTAGGAGTTTTCTTGGGGCTTGAAGCCAATAACAAGCTTTTATTATGCACTCAATCTTGAATAGTTACACCGCACGTCGGTAAGGCCTTTTATTACAAACTGAATCTACTTTAGACTAGGTATGGTATTCAAACCAGCTTGTAAACTACACTGTAGCTTCTTTTTTTTTTTTTTTTACTAAAGTAAGTGAGTTTGTTTCACTCTAAAATAGCAAGAGTGGTTGCTGTCACTGAGGACTATACAGGAATTATATTAATGTTTTCCTGCTGAACAAAACTAATGGGAAATAAGAGATACTAAATTATTGAATGTTTAGCTAAACTAAATTCCCTCCAAACAGATTATAATCTCTCTTTACCTATCTATTGCAAATCATTTGTAGTAGATTACTTCAACTCTCCCGCCTTTTTCAGATAATCCAGTACCCAGTCTGCAACATCAGACCATACTTAAGACTGAAATCCCCAGCGAAAACATCAAAAGAAAACCATCCATCACAGGCTACTGACAAAATGCTTCAATCTATCCAATCACCTTCCTAATAGTCAGTTAATGTTCTTCTGACAATCAGAACCCTACTCAAAGAAAACCACCTGAAGGCACCCCTAAACACATACCATTTTGTCCATCTGAGCAACACAAAAAGTATTTCAGCAGATTTTGTGCGTTTTTGTGTGGCTTAATTCGTATGAAAATACACACATTTTTGTGCGACCTAATTCGTAGGAAAACACACACATTTTTGTGCGACTTCATTAATAGAAAAATGCATTTTTTGGGGGCAAACTTCAGAAAAATCTTTTGAAAGTTATTGGAGCAATGCATTTTGGGCAATGGTGTTCTACACTGCCTTTTTTTGTTTCCCAAATGTATTTATATCAAAAAACAAACTTGTTAACAACCCAATATTGTTAATCAACCAGGTTGTTACCGAAATATTTATAATATAATAGTTTTTTTTATTATTGCCAATTCTGTTTTCTATGCTTGTCTTCGCTTAGTACTTTGGGATAGTGGTGCTATGTCGGATTTTATGAGGGTTGCCATAATGAAGTAAAAAGCTGTATTTGTCATTTTTTTGTGGTATCGATGAAGGTATTTGATTGGGGAATGGGGTCTGTTTGGTTTCAATTCCCCTGGTGCATCTGCATGGTATTTGCAACTATAACGAGTCTGGACTATGATCAATTAAGCCATATCAATGCAGTTAAACAGGTTAATGTAAAATAATGAATTATGTTGGCTTACACTTATGGCACTTCCAAGGCCGTTTCATGATGCTTATTACGGTCGTGTCAATCATGTTATATACTTAGGCTATTGTAACAAGGCATATGCCAGCATTGTAGGCCTACTGTCTCTGCCCATAGGCCTACTAGACTTTCATGGTAACGGCCATTAGAGCTCACTTTGTAACGGCCATTAGAGTCCCTGTTGCAGCTTTCACTTTCTTATGCTACATTGGTGGCAGCATTGTGATCCCGTCCAGCTCACATCTAGTTATGTGATCTAGTAGTGGGAAGCATTCTGTTTTTCAACATTGTGTTGGGTGTAATTACATTGATATATCTAGTGAACAATGGATAAGCAACAATAGGCATGATGGATAGAAGTAATCACTACAGGTGTGATCAAGCCTTACATCAAAGTTGCCTGAAGCCGAATGGAAAGTGCTACAGTGGGGGAAAAAAGTATTTAGTCAGCCACCAATTGTGCAAGTTCTCCCACTTAAAAAGATGAGAGAGGCCTGTAATTTTCATCATAGGTACATGTCAACTATGACAGACAAAATGAGAAAAAAAAATCCAGAAAATCACATTGTAGGATTTTTAATGAATTTATTTGCAAATTATGGTGGAAAATAAGTATTTGGTCAATAACTAAAGTTTCTCAATACTTTGTTATATACCCTTTGTTGGCAATGACACAGGTCAAACGTTTTCTGTAAGTCTTCACAAGGTTTTCACACACTGTTGCTGGTATTTTGACCCATTCCTCCATGCAGATCTCCTCTAGAGCAGTGATGTTTTGGGGCTGTCGCTGGGCAACACGGACTTTCAACTCCCTCCAAAGATTTTCTATGGGGTTTGAGATCTGGAGACTGGCTAGGCCACTCCAGGACCTTGAAATGCTTCTTACGAAGCCACTCCTTCGTTGCCCGGGCGGTGTGTTTGGGATCATTGTCATGCTGAAAGACCCAGCCACGTTTCATCTTCAATGCCCTTGCTGATGGAAGGAGGTTTTCACTCAAAATCTCACGATACATGGCCCCATTCATTCTTTCCTTTACACGGATCAGTCATCCTTGTCCCTTTGCAGAAAAACAGCCCCAAAGCATGATGTTTCCACCCCCATGCTTCACAGTAGGTATGGTGTTCTTTGGATGCAACTCAGCATTCTTTGTCCTCCAAACACGACGAGTTGAATTTTACCAAAAAGTTCTATTTGGTTTCATCTGACCATATGACATTTCTCCCAATCCTCTTCTGGATCATCCAAATGCACTCTAGCAAACTTCAGATGGGCCTGGACATGTACTGGCTTAAGCAGGGGGCACGTCTGGCACTGCAGGATTTGAGTCCCTGGTGGCGTAGTGTGTTACTGATGGTAGGCTTTGTTACTTTGGTCCCCGCTCTCTGCAGGGCATTCACTAGGTCCCCCCGTGTGGTTCTGGGATTTTGCTCACCGTTCTTGTGATCATTTTGACCCACGGGGTGAGATCTTGCGTGGAGCCCCGATCGAGGGAGATTATCAGTGGTCTTGTAGTCTTCCATTTTCCTAATAATTGCTCCACGTTGATTTCTTCAAAACCAAGCTGCTTACCTATTGCAGATTCAGTTCCCAGCCTGGTGCAGGGGCTACAATTTTGGTTTTTGGGTCCTTTGACAGCTCCTTGGTCTTGGCCATAGTGGAGTTTGGAGGTGAGTTGAGGTTGTGGAAGGACTATACGGGAATTTATTATGTTTTCCGCTGAAAAACAATGGGAAATAAGGATACTAAATATTGATGTTTAGCTAAACTAAATTCCCTCCAAACAGATTATAATCTCTTTTTAAACTATCTATTGCAAATCATTTGTATTAGATTACTTCAACTCTCCCGCCTTTTTCAGATAATCCAGTCCCCCCAGTCTGCAACATCAGACCAAAACTTAAGACTGAAATCCCCACGAAACATCAAAAGAAAACCATCCTCACAGGCACTGAAAAAATGCTTCATCTATCCAATCACCTTCCTAATAGTCAGTTTTTCTTCGACAACAGAACCCTACTCAAAAAAAACCACCTGAAGGCACCCCTAAACACATACCATTTTGTCCATCTGAGCAACACAAAAAGTATTTCAGCAGATTTTGTGCGTTTTTGTGTGGCTTAATTCGTATGAAAATACCACATTTTGTGCGACCTAATTCGTAGGAAAACACACACATTTTTGTGCGACTTCATTAATAGAAAAATGCATTTTTTGGGGGCAAACTTCAGAAAAATCTTTTGAAAGTTATTGGAGCAATGCATTTTGGGCAATGGTGTTCTACACTGCCTTTTTTTGTTTCCCAAATGTATTTATATCAAAAAACAAACTTGTTAACAACCCAATATTGTTAATCAACCAGGTTGTTACCGAAATATTTATAATATAATAGTTTTTTTTATTATTGCCAATTCTGTTTTCTATGCTTGTCTTCGCTTAGTACTTTGGGATAGTGGTGCTATGTCGGATTTTATGAGGGTTGCCATAATGAAGTAAAAAGCTGTATTTGTCATTTTTTTGTGGTATCGATGAAGGTATTTGATTGGGGAATGGGGATACATTTTTCGCAAAAATAATCTGTTTGGTTTCAATTCCCCTGGTGCATCTGCATGGTATTTGCAACTATAACGAGTCTGGACTATGATCAATTAAGCCATATCAATGCAGTTAAACAGTTTAATGTAAATAATGAATTATGTTGGTTTTACACTTATGGCACTTCCAAGGCCGTTTCATGATGCTTATTACGGTCGTGTCAATCATGTTATATACTTAGCTATTGTAACAAGGCATATGCCACCATTGTAGGCCTACTGTCTCTGCCCATAGGCCTACTAGACTTTCATGGTAACGGCCATTAGAGCTCACTTTGTAACGGCCATTAGAGTTCCCTGTTGCAGCTTTCACTTTCTTATGCTACATTGGTGGCAGCATTTGATCCCGTCCAGCTCACATCTATTATTTGATCTAGTAGTGGGAAGCATTCTTTTTTTTCAACATTGTGTTTGGGTGAAATTACACTTGATATATCTAGTGAACAATGGATAAGCAACAATGGCATGATGGATAGAAGTAATCACTACAGGTGTGATCAGCCTTACATCAAAGTTGCCTGAAGCCGAATGGAAAGTGCTACAGTGGGGAAAAAGTATTTAGTCAGCACCAATTGTGCAAGTTCTCCCACTTAAAAAGATGAGAGAGGCCTGTAATTTTCATCATAGGTACATGTCAACTATGACAGACAAAATGAGAAAAAAAAATCCAGAAAATCACATTGTAGGATTTTTAATGAATTTATTTGCAAATTATGGTGGAAAATAAGTATTTGGTCAATAACTAAAGTTTCTCAATACTTTGTTATATACCCCTTTGTTGGCAATGACACAGGTCAAACGTTTTCTGTAAGTCTTCACAAGGTTTTCACACACTGTTGCTGGTATTTTGACCCATTCCTCCATGCAGATCTCCTCTAGAGCAGTGATGTTTTGGGGCTGTCGCTGGGCAACACGGACTTTCAACTCCCTCCAAAGATTTTCTATGGGGTTGAGATCTGGAGACTGGCTAGGCCACTCCAGGACCTTGAAATGCTTCTTACGAAGCCACTCCTTCGTTGCCCGGCGGGTGTGTTTTGGGATCATTGTCATGCTGAAAGACCCAGCCACGTTTCATCTTCAATGCCCTTGCTGATGGAAGGAGGTTTTCACTCAAAATCTCACGATACATGGCCCCATTCATTCTTTCCTTTACACGGATCAGTCATCCTTGTCCCTTTGCAGAAAAACAGCCCCCAAAGCATGATGTTTCCACCCCCATGCTTCACAGTAGGTATGGTGTTCTTTGGATGCAACTCAGCATTCTTTGTCCTCCAAACACGACGAGTTGAATTTTTACCAAAAAGTTCTATTTTGGTTTCATCTGACCATATGACATTCTCCCAATCCTCTTCTGGATCATCCAAATGCACTCTAGCAAACTTCAGATGGGCCTGGACATGTACTGGCTTAAGCAGGGGGCACGTCTGGCACTGCAGGATTTGAGTCCCTGGTGGCGTAGTGTGTTACTGATGGTAGGCTTTGTTACTTTGGTCCCAGCTCTCTGCAGGTCATTCACTAGGTCCCCCCGTGTGGTTCTGGGATTTTTGCTCACCGTTCTTGTGATCATTTTGACCCCACGGGGTATCTTTAGCAATCGAGGAGATTATCATGGTATGTCCATTTCTAATATTGCACAATACAAGCTGTTCATTGCATGATCATTCCAGTGTGTCAATCTGTTATTTACTTTTGGTCTTGGCCATAGGCATTGGATGTTGGGTTACTGTCTCTGCCAAGTTCTACAGGACTTTAATGTAACGGCAGAGACCTCTTAAGGAATTACAGTCTGTGAGCATTTGTTTTAGGTACCAATACTTATTTTCCACCATAATTTGCAAATACAATTTCATTAAAAATTCCTAACAATGTGATTTTCTCGGATTATTTTTCTCAATTTGTCTGTCATAGTTGACGTGTACCTATGATGAAAATTACAGGCCTCTCTCATCTTTTTAAGTGGGAGAACTTGCACAATTGGTGGCTGACTAAATACTTTTTTCCCCCACTGTATGCCCTGACCAGTTATTCAGAATAAAATCCTCTGTGACTAGACATTTACATAAGTTAACTTACCAATGTGGACCCAAAACAAATACATTCTACACATTTACAAACTACCTGTTTTAAAGTGTTATTACAACCATGTTATTTTGTTACTGAAGCTTATATATCAAATAACCTAACAATGATCCACATCATATGGGTAGACAAATAATAAGTAAGGATGTAAACCAGTAATATGAATCACTGTTGATCCATCCTGTTCTGATCTAATGAGATGGATGTAGGATTTCCTACGGCCTAGAATCTAGGCCTTTCCCAGTCATGTAGGACGAAGCTAGGCCCCTCTTGGTTCTCATTCGCGAAGACTGAACTCAAGTTAGGGGTTATATGTCAGACTCTCCTATACCTCTTTGCCCAACATGTTATACCCCAGAGGTTGTAAATAAACCCTTTTAAGCTGATATAACGTCTAGCATTATTATAGGGCTGTGAAACCCATAGCCGAATGGCTTCAGACTGAGCATTTCTCACCATTTATTTACGGAGAGCAATTTCCATTTTATAACAGGTAGTGTCCATTTATTTACAGTAGTGTGTTGATTAATTATTGCTTTCTTCAGTGGAAATACAGAATATGTATAAAAATGCCAAATATACCAAAAGCTAAATCAAGCAGAGATTTACGGCTATTTAACCATGTTAACCATTACTGAAACATGCAAACTACAAACATTTAGCCAGTTAAAGATAATGAATACATGACAACTAAATACAAATATTTTATTAAGAATTATTCATACAAAAGTCAAGAGTTGGCTATAACATGAATACAAACAAAGTGAGTGTGTGTATATGTGTGTTTGTGTGCGTGTGTGTGTATTATGGTGTGTATTATAATTTCCCATCATAGAAATGTATCCCCATTCCTCAATCAAATACCTTAATCGATACCACAAAACACCCCCCAGAAAAATCGACATAGCCTTGTATAAAATGCATTATGAAAGAAATGGTGTAATGTACACGAAAACGTGGAGCCTTGTATTAAATGCATTATGAAGAAAATAGTGTAGGCCTACTGTTGCCTACATGAAAAAAGGGCCTTTCTGACTACACGTGCACCAGTATCCCAAAGTATTAAGCGAAAACAAGCATAGAAAAGAGTATTGGCATTAATAAAAAATTAAAAAACATAAGGCTACTATTATACGAGAAGTATTTCAGTGACAACCTGGTTGATTAACAATATTGGGTTGTTAACAAGTTAGTTTTTTATATAAACAAATGTGGGACACAAAAAAAGGCAGTGTAGAACACCATTGCCCATCATGCATTGCTCTAATAACTTTCAAAAGATTGTTCCGAAGTTTGCCCCCAACAAATGTATTTCTTCTATGAATGAAGTCGCACAAACATGTATATTTCCTACCAATTAAGGCGCACAAAAAGTTGTGTCTTTTCACACGAATTAAGCTACACAAAAACGCACAGAAATTCATGAAATCTGCTGAAATACTATTTGTACATATTTGCATGAATTGAGTGTGAGATTGTGTTGACCTGAGATATGTAGCAGTTGAGAAGCTTTTACTGTAAATACAGTATCTGCCACATACTCGGTATTCAAACTAACTGGGAGTTAATCAGTGTATTTATTATGCTCATACCCACCTTTCCTTTTATGGTTTGCTTTGATTAGGAGGAAATATTAAACATACCCAAATAATGAATTCTTAAGACCAATAATTAAATAGTTTATTTCTGTTACTCCTGATATAACTACAGAAAGGACTATACTTTCACTGATGGTTAATTCACTTAAAACCTGTGAAAATAGATTATATAAAAACTAAACTTGCTCAACTATGAAATAGTTAGTTTATATCGGTTCCTGCTACAATATTACTTTAATTCAATTAAATCCTATGAAAAATGAACACAAAAAGTGATAAACATAGTCAAATTATATTAGATAACCAATTGTAGAAACCCCTCTCAGAAAAAAGGTTTGGGTATAGAATACAAAGCATGTGTAAATGTAGGCCTAGTTTATTTTATTTGAATTCCAAACCTGTGGTTTGTGATTAAAAACATCTGGGGTGTAATTAGCATAATTTAATGATCACTGGAGAGAAATTGAATGTATTTCATGCCTCAGCAAGCATGAAACAATGAGTCAGCGAACGGACGGAGCTGAGCTGGGTTTCAAATCCAAGCAGTTTCAAGTAATAAAGAGAGAAACACCACCTTGGTTAGATGTTGTCAACCTGCTATGGTCTTGCAACTATTTCAGAATGTACACCTATTTTCGGATCTGAAATATCTGATCAATCACTATCACCCAAGACATAGTTTCTAATACTGCTACAGTGCAGGGCCAATAGCAATTCATAAACAGTCAATAAGAGTATTGTTTTGATGACAACAACTAGTGATGTGCTTGAGCTCAGGAAATACAGCTGAATTCAAGAAAAAATACACTGCTACTGTATGTGTTGTAATCTTGCCTGCAGTCATTGTGCTGGTAATTTCAACTCACTCTTGCCCCATTAGCTTTTCACAAAACAGCTGGAATGCATCCTCGGCACATTATCAATATCTGCCTACCACCAGCAAGTTCCTTGGGTGCTGTTTCTGCTAAGTTTGTATTTAATTGATGGTGTTGGTTAGATAAAACAGAAAAACAAGAACAGATGACATTATTGCTAAATGAGGCGTTCATAGAAAAGAGGTAAGGAAACAACATGATTCAGACAGGCCATGTAAAATTAGTTTGATTCAGAAGTGATTGGAATTCACCCACAAAGGACCAAATTGAATTCGAAAGACCATATCTTCTAAAAATACAATGCATATCTGTGCTATATGTGTGCGTTTTTATACAGCACAGTATTTCTGATAACCATTTCTTATCTTGGGAGAGGACACGGTCCAGTTACTTTTTTTTCAACGCTCTGATATCTTGAGTGAATACATTTGTTACAAATTAAACAAGTCCGCTTCACCGAATGTTCTTGAGATACTGAGGAAGTTTTACATGGCCTTAACAGATAAATAAAACTACACCACTGCTACATTAGTTAAGGCTCAGAATCCCGAGGTACACTTACGGTGCCAGTAGAAAGGACGGAGCGAAAGATTGGAGTCGTTTTACAGATTGACTTGGCGGCAGTCCCCCACTCAAACCCTCTGTGGTCCAGGTGCGCTGTACTGGGGTCCTTCCTCTGGGCTGCTAGGCCTCCCAACACAGGGTGATTCACTGATTTGTGCAGATGATGGCTGTGGACACAGATTTGAAGGAGTTAAAATCTCACTATTTCATCATAGTCTACGATTCAATCAAAACCTGCTTGCCAGCTGACAGCATTTTCTGGCCACAATTGTCTAGACAAAATTGGCAACTGTGCGTGCCAGGGATGGGATAGGACAAAACTGTTTACTCAAAATGGCACTTATTGTGCAGCTGTGAGAATAAATATTTGTCCTCATGTAATCACTAGGACAATGTTTACTGTTTGAACAACTGTATTCAAATTTACTTCAAATGCGATTTCCCCTCAGCTTGTGATGAAAGTTGTTTCACCAACCAACCAAAATGACTTTCTAACTGGTTATGACTGAATGGTGGCCTACGTTGTGCCATTGTAAAAAGTGTGTAGGGACAGGGGGACAGAGGGCCAGCTCAGGGTCTACCCCAGACTGTACAGGAGAACCAGGCAGCAGCCTCATAATGAATGTGATCCAAGGCTGAACAGGGATCAACCCTTATCTGTGTACAGACTAATGCCTGCAGCAGAAGCTTGTGTGTGTGTGTGTGTGTGTGTGTGTGTGTGTGTGTGTGTGTGTGTGTGTGTGTGTGTGTGTGTGCTTGTGCGTGTGTGTGTGTGTGTGCGTGTGTGTGTGTGTGCGTGTGTGTGTGTGTGTGTGTGTGTGTGTGTGTGTGTGCTTGTGCGTGTGTCGGCTTGGCAGAGCTCAAGACAAACCGGCTTGATATATAGCCTTACCCTCCGACACGGGCAAACACTGCTAGCACAGATACTGCCACCAGCCAAGCTAGGGGAAGGATAACTTACACAGCCAGCCTTGACAAGCCATGGCATTTCATATTTCAAAACTAGCTAGAGCTAGAGCTGTGAACACGATCCGGGAGATCTAAGTGGGGTTTTATGGGTGGACTTGACGATTATACAATTCAAAAATAATTATATAGTTCCGGAATGCAATTGTTGTACAATCGTTTTCCAGGGGACAGTTGGTATGGAATCTCTGGGTATTGAAAATGATTCTGATTGTTCCCCCGTTGTCTCGCTACGACAGAGGATGTGTCCCAAATGGCACCCTATTCCCTATATAGTAGTGCACTATATAGGGTCAAAATGTGTGCACTATAAAGGGTATAGGGTGCCATTTGGGACGCAAACAGACTCTCAGCACCTTTCAGTGGAGCACGGTTGGTCGGGGTAAAGCTTGCCGCTGTTCAATTTCAGTAATGATTTCCTCTGCTGAATATCCCAGGGAAACTCCCAATAATGGAGAGATCCAGAAGGGATTTAAAAGCAATCATCTCTGGTTTAAGATTATTTCAATTTGAAATCTTTGGCTCCCCCTTTTACCAGTGTGAATGAATGATAAATGACTGATCAAATGAGAGAGTAAATGGATGAATGAAATAATTAATTATTGAGGGGTGTATGTATGAAAGAGTGAATTATGTCAGATGATGCGTTAATTATTGTAGTGCAGAGGTGACACTAAGGGAAGTCTAATATAATTGAGCTGTCTGTCTCTGAGGATTCAGATGATGAAAATGAAATTATATATTGTCATATTGAATCTTAAAGAAGGCTACAACCTAATGGAAGAGTCAAATGCAAAAACTAAACTGCTGGCCCAATGGATTTAAAACCTAACCTAACCTATCACCTAACCCATCGCCTCAAATCGTAACTCTAGTCCAGACCGACTGCAATAATAATCCACCAAATCCATCAAACTCTATCAGCGCCACCGCAACACAGCCCGATCTCAGTGATCCGGCAAAATTTGACTCTAATTGAGTGCGCATTGATCTGTGGATGCCGTTTCCCAGTCATTTCCTGTGAAGCTGTGATAAGGAGGCTACCGCTACACCCGTTACTCATTCCTATGATCAAACAGTCACCTCCGGCCTATCAATCATCACTGTGGCATGACCAGACCAGCCAGGCAGAATGCCCGGGGCTGAAAATATAAATGGCGGCTTCCGTCGCGGCGTGTGTGTTGAGGCTAGGATTTACCTGCTCTCGGTGCTGGAGGAGCGGCAGGTGGAACTCTCTGACTCTGACCTCCGGTAGCGTCGTCTCCGCTTCGTGTGACTCCGTGAGCTGGAAGAGGAAATGAAAGGAGAGAAGAGAGACCAGGGAATGAGTATCTTCTTAGTAAGGAAGAAATGACCAAACGTTGCCGTGATGGATATTGCACTTGCTTACTCCTCCATATGCTGCTTCCCTGATTACTGGCACCAAATCAAATCAATACTTTCATATAAAGAAGACAAAATAGTGCGGTGGAAAAAGGACAAGAGAAAAAGAAAGAGAAGGGAGAACAAGATAAAAAAGGAATGGGAAGGAAAGGGGGATACCTAGTCAGTTGTACAACTGAAAACATTCAACTGAAATTAGATGGAAAGGCAGAGAGAGGAGAGGAGAAGAAATATACAGGTTAAAAGTTTTAGAACACCTACTCATTCAAGGGTTTTTCTTTATATTTACTATTTTCTACATTGTAGAATAATAGTGAAGACATAAAAACTATGAAATAACACATATGGAAAAATGTAGTAACCAAATAAGTTAATTTTCCTACAGTCTTGAAGGAGTTCCCACATATGCTGAGCACTTGTTGGCTGCTTTTCCTTCACTCTGCGGTCCGATTCATCCCTTACACAGCCTGGAGGTGTGTTGGGTCATTATCGTGTTGAAAAACAAATGATAGTCCCACTAAGCCCAAACCAGATGGGATGGCGTATCGCTGCAGAATGCTGTGGTAGCCATGCTGGTTAAGTGTGCCTTGAATTCTAAATAAATCACAGACAGTGTCACCAGCAAAGCACCCCCACACCATCACACCTCCTCCTCCATGCTTTACGGTGGGAACTACACATGCAGAGATCATCCGTTCACCCACACCGTGTCTCACAAAGACACGGCGGTTGGAAACAAAAATCTCAAATTTGGACTCCAGGCCAAAGGACACATTTCCACCGGTCTAATGTCCATTGTTTGCATTTCTTGGCCCAAGCAGGTCTCTTCTTCTTATTGTTGTCCTTTAGTAGTGGTTTCTTTGCAGCAGTTCGACCATGAAGGCCTGATTCACACAGTCTCCTCTGAACAGTTGATGTTGAGATGTGTCTGTTACTTGAAGTCTGTGAAGCATTTATTTGGGCTGCAATTTCTGAGGCTGGTAACTCTAATGAACTTATCCTCTGCAGCAGAGATAACTCTGGGTCTTCCATTCCTGTGGCGGTCCTCATGAGAGCCAGTTTCATCATAGCGCTTGAGGGATTTTGTGACTGCACTTCAAGAAACTTTCAAAGTTCTTGACATTTTCCATGTTGACTGACCTTCATGTCTTAAAGTAATGATGGACTGTCATTTCTCTTTGCTTATTTGAGCTGTTCTTGCCATAATATGGACTTGGTATTTTACCAAATAGGGCTATTTTCTGTATACCCCCCCACCTTGTCACAACACAACTGATTGAATCAAACGCATTAAGAAGGAAATCAATTCCACAAATTAACTTTTAAGAAGGCACACCTGTTAATTGAAATGCATTCCAGGTGACTACCTCATGAAGCTGGTTGAGAGAATGCCAAGAGTGTGCAAAGCTGTCATCAAGGCAAAGGGTGGCTATTTGAAGAATCTCAAATATAAAATATATTTTGATTTGTTTAACACTTTTTTGGTTACTACATGATTCCATATGTGTTATTTCATAGTTTTGATGTCTTCACTATTATTCTACAATGTAGAAAATAGTAAAAATTAAGAAAAACCCTTGAATTAGTAGGTGTTCTAAAACTTTTGACTGGTAGTGTATATATATATTTTTTAAGGCAGTGGTCTGACATTCTGTAGCAGTCTCAACGTCTGAACCTCGTTCTATGTTCAGCAACGACGCTCTGCTCTGCTTTGCTCACTGCAGCAGAATTATACATATTGTCGGTTCATAGCGTGAAACTGGTTTCTCTTACTCTCTTTTGGTAAATTTTTCTCTTTCATTGTTGTTCTCCCTTTCAATCGTGTTTTTCTCTTTCAGAGTGGGTGCTTTCATGGTGCTTTCATGGTGCTTTCATGGTGCTTTCATGGTGCTTTCAGTTTCAGAACACAAAATCAGTGCAGTTTTGTCCATACTAGTTGCTTCTCAACATTCATCTAAAGGAAAGCATTTCTAAAGCATATTATTAATATTTTCTCACAGCTTCTTGTGGACGGATGGTTTACTTCTATACAACAAGAGAGGGATTGGGCTGAAGAAGAGGTAGTACAGCTTATGAAAAAAATATGTATCTGATTTGATGGAAAATTACATCGACCAACCTTTTTTTGTGCTTTCGATCATTCTTCCTCTTATGTTTCAAGCTTGAAGAGCTGTGCTTTGTCTTTTTAGAGGTACACCTGGAAAAGAGAAACAAAAACAAAACACTTTCATGTGTGTTCATCCATTTCTTTGACAAAACGGCATACCATTGAAACTTCTGCTTATACATTTTATAGTGTTTGCCAAAGTAATATTGCATGCCAGAATATTGCTGTCTTCTGGTGAAAAAGACCAAAGGTACTAATTTCAATACTGACCAACAACAACATTACACAGGAAGTAGCTACCTGTGGCGTTTGCTTTTCTTAGAGCTCTTCTTTTTTTTCTTTTTCTTCTTCCTCGCTGGTGACAGGCTGTAGGACAGAGACCTATGACAAAAACCACACAAACAGTTATGACCACACACATACAAACACACACACAAACAAATTCTCACCCATCTCTTCTTTAGAACCTGATAACGTCCCTCACTCTCTGTGTGGTGTCTCTGCAATTTCGATTAGCTCAGAATTCAGTTTGAACATCTCCGACAATAGACCCTTCCATCAGGCCACCAGAGTGCTGGTTCCTTTTATGAACTGACCTTTTCCTCTTCCTCTTTCGCTCCGATTTCCTCTTCTTTTTCTTCCCCTTGGGAGCGTGGGGCCGAGGGGAGAGATCGTCATCAAATGACACACTGCAACAGGAGACAGAGAGACAGGAGACAGGGATGGTCAACATAGTAAATATTTACTGATGACAGCATTGCCAATGCACTATTTTCATGGTCATGTACAGGAATCAGGAGTGTAAAGTCCCCCCAAAAAATGTTGGGTAGCACATTGTGATGTCAAATGTAATTTATAAGTATACACAAAGTACAATCATAGCCACAGCACTCCTCAGCAGTCAACACTAGTGGGACATAATACAATAATTTGGCCGAACCGGGTATTACAGTTTGATAGCCCAAAGCTAGCAATTAAGTTAGGGAGTAGTGCCCATTTAGCCCTGATGGATTCTGAGCTTTACATTCATGTCAGGACCTTACAGGCATGGCATAGGACTGCCTCTCAGGATGAATGCTCCTGAAAGGTCCACTTCATTTGCTCTCTGCAAATGGCTGATGCGTCAGGGCGATGAGGCCCTTTTAAGCACTACAGACATCTTAAATTGGCCTTTCAGGTAGAGATAGAGAGAGGGAGAGAAGTAGATGGTGGGAGGGAGAGGGGGAGGGGGCAGGAGTGTGAGAGAGATACAGAGAGCGAGGGAGTGAGAGAGAGAGAAATATAGAGAGAGGGAGAGACAGGGTAAAGAAGGGAGGAATTGTGAGAGAGCGACAGAGAGAGAGAGCGTAAGACAGAGAGAGAGAGAGAGAGATGCCTAGGAAAGGGCCTTGAACTGCAATTCATTTGGCCAGCCTTGCCTTGACTTCAGTAATGAGGTAGAAAATGAGCATTATCTGGGTGTCTGGAGGAGATTAAATTAGATGGTTAAATTATGTAGGACTCGCTGAGTCGTAAGTATGTCTGGCAAACAAGGTGGAGCTGAGAGAGAGGGCAGTCACAGGTGAGCCACTGTTAATCACGCGCAGGCACGGACGGACGCACACACACACAAACACACACACACACACACACACACACAACACACAAACACACTTGTACTAATGCATGGTAGTAGCAAGTAATTCATCTAAATATCAACAATCGTCCCTGCATTATGATGCTTCCAGATCACATTGAGGATGTACTGAACAAAAATACAACATAATAATATGTATGTAATATAATATGTAAAGTGTTGGTCCCATGTTTCATGAGCTGAAGTAAATAAATAAATTCCATACGCACAAAAAGCTTATTTCTCTCAAATGTTGTGCACAAATTTGTTTAAATCCCTGTTAGTGAGCATTTCTCCTTTTCCAAGGTAATCCATCCACCTGGCATGTCAAGGAGCTGATTAAACAGCTTGATTATTACACAGGTGCACCTTGTGCTGGGGACAATAAAAGGCCATATATTTTTGTCACACAACACAATGCCACAGATGTCTTAATTTTTGAGGGAGCGTGTATTTGGCATGCTGACTGCAGGAATGTCCACCAGAGCTGTTCGCAGATAATTTAATGTTAATTTCTCTACCATAAGCCACCTCCAATGTCATTTTAGAGAATTTGGCAGTACGTCCAACCGGCCTCACAACCGCAAACCATGTGTATGGTGTTGTGTGGGTGAGCGGTTTGCTGATGTAAACCTTGTGAACAGAGTGTCCCATGGTGGTGGTGGGGTTATGGTATGGCCAGGCATACGCTACGGACAACAAACACAATTGCATTTGATCAATGGCAATTTGAATGCACAGAGATACCGTGACGAGATCCTGAGGCCCATTGTCGTGCCATTCATCGGTCACCATCACCTCATGTTTCAGCATGATAATGCACGGCCCCATGTGCAAGGATCTGTTCCAGTTCCCGCCAATATCCAGCAACTTCGCACAGCCATTGAAGAGGAGTGGGACAACATTCCACATTCCACAGGCCACAATCAACAGCCTAATCAACTCTACGCGAAGGAGATGTGTTGTGCTGCATGAGGCTGTGACGGGGTGAAATGAAGGAGTCAGGCGCAGGAGGTAAGATACCGAAGTCTAGAGTTTAATGCGTTCACATATATCAAACGCCCCAAGCGTCAAAAGGAACAAGCTCAAGGGAAAACATCCACCTTGGTATAAATACAATGTTGAGTAGCTCAACCGAGCTAACATGCTCTCACAATAAACAATCACTCACAAAGACAAGGGGAACAGAGGGAACACTTATACACATACTAATTAGGGGAATGAGCACCAGGTGTGTGTGATTGACAAGACATGACAAGTGGAGTGATGAGAATGGGATCGGCAGTAGCTAGTACTCCGGTGATGACGAACGCCGAATCCTGCCCGAACAAGGAGGAGGGGCAGCCTCGGTGGACATCGTGACAGAGGCAAATGGTGGTCACACCAGATACTGTTTTTTGATCCACGCCCCTACCTTTCCTTTTAAGGTATGTGTGACCAACAGATGTATATAATCTTTGAAATTGTTGTATGTTGCGTTCGTATTTTTGTTCAGTATAGATGTGAAATATGTAAAGTGTATAATCAGAGCCGTCAAAACACTGTTGATTGACAAATTAGTTCCCTTTTACATCGCCTACTGAATAGTGTAAACACACATAGTCTAACAGTATCTGAGTGGCTCCAAACATCATGCTGCGATGCAACAGAGCACTCAGCGAGCAACTGAGGGATATGATAGAGACATAAACGCCACTCCAGCAGAAAACCCATTAGATCAAATGACAACACGGTGTGTGTGTGTGTGTGTTGTGTGTGACCGACTGCAGTCTATATCGTTCCTTCTCTCAGATGAAAACGTATGTGGGCAGACAATATCTCCCCGTCCTTCCCTCTGGGAATGCCTAGCCATGCTGTGTCTGTCTGTGTAGTGTACATGTGCACGCGTACACACGCACACACGGACAAACACACACACACCATTACGTGTAGATTGAACGCGGCCGTCTGTCTCGCCATAATAAACGATGTCGGTTGGAGGCTGCATTGGATAGCATTAAACATTAGCAGCTGAAATACATTAAGGGATGATTATAGGGAAGGAACCCAAGTACCGTCTCGGTAATGAGAAAGCTTTGTCACTCATTAACACTTCCCTCCCACTAACTCCAGCCCTGCAGAAGAAAGAAACTCCCTCAGTAGTAAAAATTAGGAGGAAAGTTTACCTTAACCACTGATCCACAGTCAAATGAATTTTCATCCACTGTATGGTTAAGGTTAGGATTGGGGACTGATCATCTAATCCTAGACCTGTAGTTAAGGGTAATTTCTGGTTAGGCACTGAGGTAGGATATGGTGATTGAATAAAATAAAGATGGATGAAAAATTCATAGGGACCGGTCGTATTCCCTTCCACTGTAGTAACTGTAGTTACTTCGTCCTTGAGGATCAACAGCTAATCATTTACATTTAAGTCATTTAGCAGCTAGCTCTACCACGACTTACAGTAGTGAAACTTTTATTTTATACGGCCCCCCGTGGAATCGAACCCACAACCTGTGTTGCAAAGCCATGCTCTATCAATGAGCTAGTCACGTGCGCCATTCTCCTCCTGACGACGCTGGGCCATTGTGCGCCGCCATAGTCTCCGTCGCGCCGCTGCACGCGGCTGGTTTGCGACGGATCTAGTGGCACAGTTAGCACTGCGGTGCAGTGCCTTAGACCACGCCCCTCAGGTGTCTAATCAAGGTAGCTAGCTATATGTAAATCATTAGCAGCTAGCTAGCCATCTACAGAAACAACAGCAGTCCGAGCTCATTTCCACAGACTGTCACTGTTCCAAAGATCTTTCAGAGGTAAGTTGGTCGGTGTCAGTCAGCAGTTTTGCCGTGGTAGCCCTGTCGATTTCCTGCATGTTCCTGGCTGCCCCTGCACCCTGCTGTGTGGTGTTTGCTGTGGTGTGGTGGGACTCGAATGATGGTGGTGTCATGTTTGGTTTTAGCTTCTGTCGTCTCTCCTCAGCGCTTTGACCTTCAGGGCACAGTCGGGATAAACAGGCCTCTGATGGAGACCATTACTTCTGTCTGTCAGACACAGCCAGGGCCAGGTTTACAGCCGCTCCCTATTCTCTGGAAGCAATGTGGTGGAAGGTCCACGACGACAACCGTTTATACCCGTCCAGACTACTGGTGCGGTTTACAACTGGTCCAGATTCCCTCCCTAGCCTTTCCCCTTGGCCCTTGTTTGCAAATCTTTAAGGTGGAAGCAAAATGGTGAAAGCCCCATCACTACACTGCTAATACCTATCCAGACCCTTCAGATGGGCAAACATGGGAAGGTTAGGGCCAAGGGAAGGGGAAGGAAATGAATTGGGACTGTCCGTGTGTTACTTCTAGCTGTCAGCTACTAATGCACAGGCATGTTGCCCAATAAAAACATTCAATACAGAAGCAGGGATAGCTAAGGCCAAGGCTTTTTATTAGCCATTACTAGATCCCAGGAGTTTTTCCTCCTGACCAGAAAAAACTCCTGGCCATAGTTATTATGCATCGTCAGAAGCACATCAGAGACTACTTTTTCTCTTTATGCTTTAAACCGAAGGGCAGCTGCAGCTGTTCTTTAAAGTTCAATGAGCCAGACTGTGATTTCCACCGCTTATGATCCTGGTAACACTTACGATGTCTTCTCCCGTGTTTTTCATATCGTCTACCGCCTCCAGCTGTATCACCATGCCGGCTTTGAAATTGTCTGAAGACTTATTCCAGCTTTAAAAAATATGACTTAATTGATTTTCTCACCTTTAAAATGACATAGCAAAGGATTCTGTCTGCTTCCCAAATGGCACCCTTTTCCCTATATCAGGGTTCGCCAACTGGCGTCCCACGGGCCAAATTTGAGCAACAAAAGAAAAGACTGTTAAAACACCAGGAAATCGGAATTTTAGAAATCTGTTCCTAGGTATTCCCAAACATAATAAAAATATATATGTGATCGTATACAAACGTAAGCAAGGTTTGAAATTATTATGTTTTAGTCAAATATTATATCTGTTTGGGCTTCTTGCGGTCAATTTGCGGTCTACAAAAAATTATTTGTAATTATATTCCATCCCCCTGAGCATCTGCTCAAGAAGA